GGGTTGGGGGAGGCAGGCTTGCAGGTTGATCGATGACTCTTGAAAGGGATTGTAACCATGGCAAGGAAACAATATACGATGAGATCAATGTGAAGCTGATGTCCTCCCATATAAATGATCACATAAGTCACAATAAAGCATTAAAATAAATAAATAAATAATAGCTATCTATCACCAGCGTCCCATGCTGAGCAGGCCTGCACTTGGTGCTTCATGTGAGGCATGTTCCACTTTACAGATGGGGAAAGTGAGGAGCAGTAACTCATGCATGCTGGTAAGTTGTTGGCCCCAAGGTAACTAATGCCTGGGTTTAAACTCCTCAGCAGTTGGGCTTCCCCCATCCACAGGACCACAGAGCTTATCTGTTCCTTCCCCACCCCTGCTGCTCTGGGGTATAAGACCCCTCAAGTGGTGAAAGCAAGGCTGCCCCCAGCACCCTGTGTAAACGTAGATTCAAACTCCACTTTGCCAGAGGGGACCAAAGTCAGGCCATGATCCTACCCTTCCCCATCCCTGGGGCACCATAGAAACCTCCTTAGGACAATGAGGCTGGTAGCTCACTGGGCCCTCTGAGATCAGATGCAGCGCAGCAGAATCATGAGGTCTGGGCTGGCCCTGCCTCACTGTGTGACCAGACACCACACTTTCCCTCTCTGGTACTATTTCTTCCTCTGTCAGATGAAAGACTTTGATAAAATACAATCTCATTCATAGTCTTCCCCCACCCCCGTGAACAGGCCTCCCCAACGGTCACATGACTCATAACAGGTTAAGGTGGGCTCTTTGCAGTAGCATTCTTGTTTAATAGGTGGTACTGGTAACTGAAAAAGCTTTGTGGCAGGAAGACAACTGAGAAGAGAAAGCTTCACAGAATCCACTTGGGTCTCGGCTGTGGGCTAGCCAGGTGTATCAAACAGCACATGGATGTTCCCCACGACCTTGGTTTTATGATCTCATTTTACAGAGGAGGAAAGCTGGGGTTCAGGGAGGCAGTCATCCACCTGAGGTCTCATTATGCAGCGAGGCAGGGATTCAACCCAATCTGTCTAAAGCCCAAGGCTACCCTGGTCTCTGCATGCACTCCCTGCTTCAAACTCTTTCCACTCCACCCTCTTTTTTGGCACAAAGTAGGAGAGGCAGTTTGGCAAAGCAGTGAACTGTATCTGCTTTGGCTTTAGCTAAATCTGGGTTCAAGTTGAGCTCTGCCACTTTCTAGTTGTATAACTTTGGGCAAGTTTCGTCCCCTCCTGACCCTGTTTCCTCATCTACAGATGGAGATAATAATAGGACCCACCTCGGGGGCTGTTGTGAGCATTAAATGAGTTACTATATACAAAGCAGTTAGAACAGTGCCTGGTACCGAGTAATCACTCCAAGGTGAAAGAAAAGTTATGTTAGCAGTTTAACTCCAACTCCCATCTGTATCAATGGGGAAAGCGTGGAGGGTTTGCCAGTCTACCTGGGCCAGTCCATTCTCCAATCTACAGCTTCCAAGACCTCAGATTTTGTGTGGCCTTCAGCAAGTCATTTAACCTCTGCATGCCTCAATTTCCTCATCTGATAGTATGAGTGAAGATACTTGCCTGATGGAGGTGTCTAGAGGATTCTTTGAGATAAGTCACCTAAGGCACCTGAGACCCAAGAACACTCAAATGGAGCCGTTGTAAGCCCTTCTTATAACAGGCCCGTGATCAGCATTGTCCTTTGATGTACCAGGTAGTTTTCCAGACTTGCCTTTCCTGGAACAGACTGGTATGGACTATCCCTCCATCCTCCTCCTCACCCTTCCCCCATGCCCAACAGATACTCGGGATGCATTTGTTGGATTGGTACATCAAACCAGGTAGCCGCCTAGGACCTTGCTCCTCAGTGTGTGATCTAATGTCCCCAGCAGCCTCAGCATCACCTGGGAGCTTGTTAAAAGCGCAGCATCTCAGGTCCCACTCAGACCTTCAGAATCAAAGTTGGAACTTTAACAGAAGTCAGGTTACTGGAATACACACCGCAGCATGAGAAGCAGTGGTCTGCTCTCCTGTGTTCAAGCTGGTCAGGACCCAGGCCTGGTGGTAAGTAGGAGAAGCCAAAGATGGCAGCAAAAGTTCCTGTCCCCAAGAGGCACTAGGGGCCCTAGCACCTGAAACCTGAAGCCTTCTGCACAGGCAGCTCAAGAAACCTGGTTAGGGGCCAAAGGTGTTGAAGCCATCTCCTCTAGGTTCAAATCCCAGTTTTGCTACTTCCTAGCTGTGTGATCTCAAGCCTACTCAACCTCTCTGTGTCTCAGTTTCTTTTTCTGTAAAATAGGGTTGATACCACCTACCTCACAAGGTTGTTGCCAGGATCAAATGCATACAGGTAATATGTCTAGGATGGTCTGATATAGAGCAATTAGCACTCAATAACTTTAGCTATTAATACTAATAATGATCATTGTTATCCACCCCACCCACGGAAGATAGGGAGTTATCTCTGGTCAAAGTGGCTCCGAGACTCATGCTGCTTCCTGATTCCCCTGCCAGCTAAGGCTCATTCTCTGCTCGTGATAAAATAAAAGAAATCATAACCCTCCCCTTCCACTGTTGAGGATCACCTGCCTGAGCAGGCAGGGTGTGGAAACCAAGTCACAGAGAGGTAGAATGACTGGGAGGCTTGAATCAGGTGAGAGGATTAGAAGGAGCCAAAAAATAGGGCTATAAGGACAGCTCTCCTACCTGTCCACCTCCACCCCTCATCCTATAGGGTTGCTATAGAAAGGCTGCAAGGATCAGATTGGCACATATAGCAAGTTCTATTAGAGTCCTGGTGTGGCGCTGTGGATTAATGCACTGGACTGCAAAGTTGGTTTGAACTACAAGGTCAGCAGTTCAAGCTCATTAGCCACTCCTCTGAAACCCTATACAGGGTCAATACGCATTGGAACTGACTCAACGGCACTTAACAACAACGTCAGGGTCCTGGTGTGGTGGTTTAGGGTAAACACTGGACTGCTAATCACAAGGTCGGTGGTTCAAGCTCACCAGCCACTCCTCGGAAACTCCTGAGTCAGATCTGACTCAATGGCATTTAACAACAACCTAGGGGTCTAGAAGAAGCCACGGTAGAATAGTGGGTTTTGAGTTGGGCTGCTAATCACAAAGTCAGTGGTTTGAGTCTAGCAGTCACTCAGTGGAAGAAAGATGAGGCTTTCTGCTCCCGTAAAGATTTTACAGCCTCAGAAGTCCCATACAGGGTCACTATGAGTCAGAATCGACTCCACAGCACACAATCACTACCACCACCACAGAGGTGCCGGAGTCCCTGGGTGGTACAAATGGCTAAGAATTCACAAGACTGTTAAAAAAAAATTAGACCCACCCAGTGGTGCCTTGGAAAGAAAGCTGTGTGATCTGCTTCTATAAAGGTTGCAGCCAAGAAAGCCCTGAGGAGCCGCTCTACCCTGGGACATACGGGGGCTCCATGAGCAGAATTGGCTCTCTGACAACTGGTTTGATTTGGTTGTTAAGTGGGGCTGTTATCTATTATTTATCTCCACAATTTCTATTTCACCCCCAATCATGAAGCTTTGCCACTGTCTTAGGATTCACATCAGGGTAGGGGTTCCTCAGCCCAGAGATAGAAGGAACCCAGAAACATTAATTTTAAAAAGATGTTTTTACATTAAAAAACGTTCATGTAACACAGAGTAGACAGGGATGGGCAACTTGGATATTGGCTACCTAAAATGGGGGGGGGGGCGCTATAAAGGCAAGAAGTGACTGGCTTACAAGCTTTCAAGAGGGAACCTAGATCCAAAGAGCGCAGGGGAAGGTATAATCTCCACTGAGTAGTATCCAATCTGTCTAGGTGGGGCTGATGAAAGGAAATGAGGACAGGTCTCTTGTGATACAATAGTGAATAATTGTTATCAGGACTGATTGTGAGGATTGGAAATGTAAAGGTAGATATTTTACAGCAAGGAGGGGAGTGATTAACTTTTCAGCCTTGGAGCGGAGGTCCCTGGGACCATCAGTGGAGAAGAGTGGAGAACAGTAAGGCCAGAGATAGAGGCAGAGATGATGACGTGGAGCGATGGAGCAGCTGGGGACTTTAGACACAGAGAGGGAGAGGGGCTGTGTGCTGATGACTGGGGGGCAGGCTTGCAGTATACCCTTTGGTTGGTTGATGATGAATGGAGGGGATTGTAACCATGGCAATGAAACAATAGGATGAATGTAAAACTAATGTTCTCCCATGTAAACTATCACATAATTCACAATAAAACATAAAACAAAACAAAACAAAATTCATGTAAAAATTAATTTACATGAATGAATGAATTTTTTTAAAAAGGAAAACACGGCGCACAAGACAAGGTGGGGCGGATGAGCGCTTGCTTACCCCAGAGAACTGGCAGCATCTGCCAGGGAGTAGCGGAGTATTTGGTCTTGAGGGATGAGGTGGGATTAGCAGCAGGGCCAAGTCTGACCCGCCTCAGAACACTTGTCACACACACACACACACACACACACACACACACACACACACACACTTGATCCTCACCAACACTTTTGTGACATCAAGTCTCATCGTTCACACACCCGAATCTCAAAAGGGTACTTAAAGGAAAACCGAAGCGCACTTCTCCGCTTTTCCTAGTTTCAGACTAGTGCTTGGTGGATTCCTGGACCCCTCCCTCCTTGGGCTGTGAATCCCCAGGCTGCTCAGAAGCGGCCAAGTGTATCTGGACCCTCCCTGACCCCACAGTTTGCCAAAGCATTAGCTGGTGGGAGGAGGGATCACTTGGGGCCCAGTGGCCTTAGCGCAGTGATCTCTGCTAGGGTCCAGGGCCCGGGCTCCTCCAGCCCTTGTGCTCCCAGCCCTCATCATTCTTCCCACAGTAGCTCATAGACGCATCATAAAATTGAAGTATAAAGTTGCTTCTAGTGCGCACAACGGGCACAGACATCGGGGCCCTATTTTACAGCTGAGTTTCAGAGAGGTCAAGCCGCCAAACCCAGACTCACACAGTTGTTCGATACCCGAGGTGCTAGGATGCCCATGTGACAGGTGATGAATCTGAGACCTAGAGGGCACAAGTCAGAGCAGAGACCCAAACTGGAGGCCAGCTAAGGGCACCTCTGGGCTCTGGACCCGCCTTTCCTCATTGTTCCTCATTAACCAGCCTGCAGGAGGGCGAGGGCTTGAACCAGGGAAGAAAGCACCTACCAGAGCCCCCATTCGTTCCTGGGGTGTGGTCGGGAAGTGCGCCGGCAAGTCCCACTCCCCTACCCCCAGCCACCGGACCCGAGCTCCCCCGAGCGCTCACTTTGGGTTTATCGAAGGCAGGTGTCTGGGTCATGGTTCCAAGCGTATGTCCTGGCGCTGTTCCTGCTGCAAAGGTCGGTAGGTCTCCGCTGGGTCCGTAGCAGGTCTGCTTCCCTGAGGGCCCGCTGTGGCCCAGGGCCGCCACGCTCCTCTTAACAGGGCCAGACCCACCGCCTCTCTGGGGCCCGCCCCCTCCCCGCCCC